TTCTTTACTTCTTACTCACAAGGTGATTTTGGGAATGTCCGTATGGGAAATGAAGATGTGTCAAAAATTGTCGGCATGGGTGACATTTGCTTGGAAACAAATATTGGATGCAAATTGCTGCTTAGAGATGTGAGGCATGTACCAGATATTCGACTCAATTTAATCTCTGCTGGAAAGTTAGATGATGAAGGCTACATCAACAATTTCAGTAATGGAAAATGGAAGCTCTCCAAAGGTTCTCTAGTGGTAGCAAAAGGAAAGAAGACTTGTTCTCTTTACACTATGCAAACAAAAATCTGCAAGGGTGTTGTGAATACCTTAGAGAATGACTCATCCACTGATTTATGGCATAGAAGGCTTGGACATATGAGTGAAAAAGGATTGCAAGTTTTGTCCAAGAAAGAGCTTCTAGTGGGGATAAAAGGTACGCCTTTGAAAACTTGTGTTCATTGTTTCCATGGTAAACAAAACAGAATATCATTCCGTAGAAACATTGCATCTAGAAAATCTCATGTTTTAGATTTGGTACATTCTGATGTATGTGGTCCTTTGAAAGTTAGGACACTTGGTGGTGCTCTATACTTTGTCACTTTTATTGATGATCACTCTAGAAAAGTTTGGGCTTATACACTGAAAACTAAAGATCAAGTTCTAGATGTGTTTAAGATTTTTCAGGCCAAGGTTGAAAGAGAAACAGGTAGACAGTTGAAATGTGTTCGCTCGGATAATGGTGGTGAATATATTGGACCATTTGATCAGTATTGCACAAATCATGGTATCAGGCATGAAAAGACAGTTAAAAAGACACCTCAACAGAACGGGGTTGCAGAGAGAATGAATCGCACCATTCTTGAGAGAGTCAGATGTTTGCTCTCACATTCTAAATTGCCAAGATCCTTTTGGGGTGAGGCAATGAGGACCGCAGTTGATCTTATCAATTTGTCTCCTTCAGTTCCGTTGAATGGTGATGTGCCAGAGAAAGTTTGGACAGGGAAGGAAGTCTCCTATGATCACTTGAGGGTATTCGGCTGCAGAGCTTTTGTTCATATTCCAAAAGATGAAAGGTCCAAGCTTGATCCAAAAGCAAAGCAATGCATATTTCTTGGCTATGGGCATGAAGAATTTGGATACAGGTTGTATGATACAGTTGACAAGAAAGTTGTCAGAAGCCGAGATGTTGTTTTCTTGGAAGATCAGACTATTGAAGACATCGACAAGCTTGAGTCAGCTGAGTCTAGTACTGATGATCTTGTTGATTTAGATCCTCTCAATCCCTCTGTTGTTCATGATATTGATGAGGAAGTGCAAACACCTCATGATGATGCAGCAGAAGATGATGTTGAGCCAGAGATTGAGGGGGAGCAACCACCCCAAGAGCCACTACCACAGACACCGTTAAGGAGATCTACTAGAGAAAAACAGCCATCCAGAAAATATTCTTCAAATGAGTATGTGATGATATCAGATCAGGGGGAGCCAGGGACTTATCAAGAAGTCTTGAAGCATGAGAACAAAACTGAATGGTTCAAGGCAATGAAAGAGGAAATGAAGTCTTTGCATGAGAATCACACCTATGATTTGGTGAAGCCGCCTAAAGGGAAGAAAATTTTGAAAAATAAATGGGTCTTCAGACGAAAGAATGATGGGAACAGTTCTCAACCGAGATTCAAGGCACGACTTGTCGTGAAAGGTTTTGATCAGAGAAAGGGAGTTGATTTTGATGAGATCTTCTCACCAGTTGTGAAGATGTCCTCCATTCGAACTGTGCTTGGTATAGCTGCGAGTATGAATTTAGAAGTTGAGCAGCTTGATGTGAAGACCGCATTTTTGCATGGTGACTTAGAAGAGGAAATTTATATGGAGCAACCTGAGGGCTTCAAAGATAAGGGTAATGATCAGTTAGTTTGCAAATTGAAGAAGAGCTTGTATGGATTGAAGCAAGCACCGAGGCAGTGGTACAGAAAATTCGATGCTTTCATGAGTGAGAATGGGTATTCAAGAACCACTTCAGACCATTGTGTGTTTGTGAAGAAATATAAAGATGGTAATTTTATTATTCTCTTGCTTTACGTTGATGATATGCTTATTGTGGGCCAAGACACGAGTAAGATTAGCAAGTTGAAGTCAGAGTTGAGTAAGTCCTTTGCCATGAAGGATTTGGGTCCAGCAAAGCAAATTCTTGGGATGAGAATTGTTCGTGACAGATCACATGGGCTGATTTGGTTATCTCAAGAGAATTATATTAAAAAGGTTCTTGAGAGGTTCAATATGGACAAAGCAAAGCCTGTTAATTGTCCACTTGCAGGCCACTTCAAACTAAGCTCAAGTCAGTGTCCTACAAGTGATGAAAAGAGAAATGAGATGCAGAAAATTCCCTATGCTTCAGCAGTTGGTTCTTTGATGTACGCCATGGTTTGTACTCGACCGGATATTGCTCACGCAGTTGGGGTTGTCAGTCGATTTTTGTCTAATCCAGGGAAAGAACACTGGGCAGCAGTGAAATGGATTATGAGGTATCTTCAGGGCACTTCAAAGATGAGTTTGTGTTTTGGTAAAGGCGAGCCTATTCTTGATGGGTTCACAGATTCTGATATGGCTGGTGATGTTGATAGTCGAAAATCTACTTCTGGTTATTTGATTACTTTTGCAGGGGGAGCAGTGGCATGGCAATCAAGATTACAGAAATGTGTTGCTCTCTCCACCACAGAAGCTGAGTTCATCGCCATCACTGAAGCTTGCAAAGAATTATTGTGGTTGAAGGAATTCTTACAAGAGTTGGGTTTGAAACAAGAAAGGTATGTCCTTCATTGTGATAGTCAGAGTGCAATCCACTTGAGCAAGAATTCTTCATTTCATTCGAGATCGAAACATATTGATGTTATATATCATTGGATTCGTGATGTCTTGAATGATAAGTTGTTACAACTTGAAAAAATTCACACTGATGATAACACTTCGGATATGTTAACTAAGGCATTGACTAAGGACAAGCATGAGAAGTGTCGACTTTTGGCGGGAATGGTCGAATCCTCCACATAAGTCGGGAGGGGGAGAATTGTTGGGTTTCCCTCCTTTGTGGGACTCATCAATTTGCTAATTTTTTGGTGGCCTACCCGTGTAGGACTCTTATCCAAGACTTGGTTTGGAGTCTTCTAGTTAAAAAGGAATTTGGCAGCCACCAAAGACTATAAGTTTTGTCCTTTTCTTTGGTTTATCTTTTCTCGGTTGGTTTGGAAAGAAGATATTTTTTCGGCAGTCTTTGGTTCAACAAAAATTCAGCCTTCTTCTTCTCCTTTTTGGTGCCAGAAAAATCTGCAAATTTGTTCTTCAAGTGGGTAATATTTCTTCACTTGATATTTGAGTTTCTTGCGGTTTGTTCTTGGAGATTTTGTTCACTTATTTTGTGAGGTATTTTCCTCTTGTGATTTACGCCTTGGTGTGTTTGTAAGGCTTATGCCTTTTGGCCACTTTGTAATCTGATTTGGTGATAGTGGAAGAAACTGACCTACCGGTCGTCGTGGATGTACCTCAAGTTATTTGAGGGAACCACGTAAATCTTGTGTGCTTATTTATTTTCTGTTATTTTATTTATATTGCTTCCATTGATTTACACTTGTGGGAAAGCCTATTTTCCCAACAGTCTGTGATTATCCCAAGTAAATCTATACCTTTTGCTCTCCAAATCAATTAATCGACTATCATCCAAGAAATTCCTAAAACTTCTCATTTTCCTCGGTGCTCTTTCCTTTACTCCCTCTTTCTCCACCATAGATACAATGTCATTGAAATCCCCTATGCAAATCCAGGGATTCACTAAAATTTTCCCAAAAGTACTTAACCTTTCCCATTGTTTGCATCTTATCTCATAATCAAGATGCCCAAAAACAAAAGTTAAATGCTATAGGCCTTGTGCTCCTTGCCCCAAAAATGTCATATTCACATGATTCAAGCTATAGTCATCCACCACCAGCTTGAAATCCTTTTTCCACATAACACACAAACCTTCAAATATCCCATCGGTTCAACTGTCATCTTGTAATCAAAATTCAACTCCCTCACTTAGGCATACAACCTGGGGTTGGTGAAGGACACGAAGGTCCTTCAATGCAAGAACTGTCAAGGATGACCCAATCCTTGACACAGTTCCAGGCAACTAGCTTCATGATGAGGTTGAGAGCATGGTAAGGCCCACCTCTTCAGTCATAATTAAAATTTTCTCATTTCACTCAACAGATACCTCATGTAACTTTTCAGATATTTGCTTATGCTTTATTGATTTTTTCCCTTGCAACCTATAGTAGAAGTATGTCTATCCACTGAATTATCACCCCCTTGGCTTCCTTGCCCCTTTTTAGAACTTGCTTTAGAAAATTGGGAACTAGCTACCTCTATACTGTCAACACCCAACTCCTTATCATTCTTTTCCCACTTTTCAGACACTAATGGCTGTGACGTATAGGGTGACTCAACCAGTGACTGCTCAGAGACTGGCTCAACCCGAGGTTGTACAATTGTAATACGTCCATCTTTTTTCCTCTAAAATTTTACCACCTTCCTTTCTGTGACATCCTCTTGCAGACTTCTTTTCATTGATAATTTTTGAAACACAAAAACCATGTAGTTATCAACTATCAATTCTGTATTTGACACTAGAATCGATTCAATATTGCTCAGTAATGAGGATAGTGGCTGATATCTTGAGTTTGGTTCAATGGTTTAGACCTGCTATGAGATAGGTTTTTTACCTCAAGACTAGAAATTGTACAGTTTGGTTGGTTTTTGGGTTGTGGATTAGCAGTGGGCACCTTTGGGTAGACTATAAGATGGTTTTTTGACGGATTGGGCTTCCATAAGATGGCACATCTTTGGTCACAAAAGGTATGGGCTCTTCCTGGTATGGATTTGTTTCAATTAAAACATGGGCTTGATCATGTTGTCTTTGATCCTATTTAGGGTTTATGGTTTGGCTACAGGTGTTTGTTATGGGTTCACAAGAGGGATTAGGGCTTACTTCTGGATGAAGGTGGTCCAAACTGACAAGGCTGAGCATTTACCTGTTGCTTGTCATTCCTCTCCATTAACGGCTCAAGTTTCTTATTCTCTATAGTACTACCACATGTATCAATGGGTGAATGCATCTCATTCTTGTGGCCATGTATCGTTTCCTGCAATGAATCCTTGATTCCTTGGGGATTTTGGTGGTTTGTGGGTACTTGCCACACGCTCTTTGCATCCCCTTCTTCATGCGCTGAATGTTTCCCTTCCAATTGCTGTCCAATGGTGGCTCTCAAGTGAGGCCCATACTGTATTTGCTTGTCCTAGGGAGCTGGATTCTTACACTCCACTTGATTATGCCCTAACCATCCACATTGGTGACAAAAATCATTCAATCTCTCGCACTTTAGACAAAATTTTCTTATCTGGATCGCCTACTCTAGGAAGCCATAAGAAAGGTATAAGAGGCTTCGTCAGATCAACGAAGACTCTGGTTTGTAAATAATTCTTCCAAATAGACTTATGCACATTACCGCTTGTCTGGTCCATATGCTGTCCCAATGCTTGCGCAATACTAAGCACATTCTCTGGTGTTATCATATCAGGATGGAGACCATGGGCTTGAACCAAAAAATGTACTAAATTGATATCAATCTCAGAGACTAACATATCCAGTTGCCATTGCTTGAGGATGACCACTTGCCCTTTCATTGACCATGGGCTGAAATTGATTTCTCTTTGTTTAATTCATTCATCTTCAAAAATGAATATGTATGTATCCAGTTCCCCATCCGTGATTTCCACCTTATTTTCTGCCTTATGCTCTTGTGAGAATAACCTTTACCGCATTCCTGTTTATTAGTTTTTCTGAGAAAACTTTGCCAATAAGACATGAGTGTTGCACAAAATTTGCAATGGGTTCGTTAGACTAAAGTTGTATTGTGGAGGTTTGCTCAAACATGGGGTTCTTGCCTTTATCGGAGATCTGTATAGCTCTATAGGAGTAGGATGAGTCTTCCATTAATGGGGGTTTTTTTGCAGAGGATTGAGATACTAACAAAATAAACTAGGGCATGGATTTTGGTTGATGCTTGAAATTGATTAGAAAAAAGTTTTTGCTATAAGCTTGGAGAAGGCGAAACATCTGAAAGAATATAGGTTTCAAAGAAGAACAGTTAAAAGACTAGGGTAGGGTTTGCAATTTGGAGACCGATAGGATGTTTGTTTCTAGGTTCAGTGACGAATATTCAATATGTATTTGGATGTGAGGCAGGTATTTGGGTTTTAGAAGGATTACTTGATTGGATTTACAAATGGTTTTTGGATTGTAGGAAGACGAAGAATTGAAAGTTCTTGGGAAAAAAGAAGAATGGAGGTTACTAGGAAGATTATGAGGGGTTTCTTCTTTGGGTCATCTCTGAGATGGGGTGTCACGCCCCATCCCGATCTTTCAAGGATGAGACATGATTAGGTCTTTGATACACTTGTTTATATATATAATTTAGCTTAATAAAACACTAATTAATCTCACAGGTGCAAAAATATCATTCATCACCTTAGTTAATAAGCATGATGGTAAACTTGTCTTATAACCTGTATCAGTTGTTTGTTTCCAAGGTTATAGACAGATAAAAAATCTCATACCCGCATAGCATACATCACAAAGTATGCATGTCGAGTCTGTTTACAAATATATACTATTAACCTGCTATAATAATCTTTCATTTAATATAATATACAATCCAACAAATAATTATATAGTCCCTCAACCAGTATCATTTACTCATTTAAAACTAAACACATAACGAATTGAATATCATACTAATATTGTACTAAACTCAACCGATTTGACAGTGGACTGATCTGTGTCTCCCTCTCTTTGTACCTGAAAATGAGAAGCTATAGGGGTGTGAGTTAAACCATGCGCTCAGTGAATATACATGCTGTATATGAAATGAAAATAAAAATAATACACAAAAGTAGGCAAATACTATGTAAATACACGTATCAAACAGCAACATCAATCCAATTCCAATAATTTGCAAGCCATAACACATTCATACTACCCTTCATCGGATAATCGATCCTACATGGATCTGTGTCTCCCGAACCTCCCGGGAACACTATAGTGTTAGCACACCACTGCACGCCCAATGATCAGACATCGACGCTTCTGCCTCAAACAGTGCGCCACATTCCACAATACATAATATACAGTACAAAGTATCATCCAATCACATAAGCACATAACACATAATCCTGGAGAAATGCTATTAAATTCTATCATCTAATATCATCTGATAATAGCATTTTCAAAACATATAAAGATATACACCCACCTCAAATATACTGATCTACGGCCCTTCGGTTCTATCGGTGGATCCTTCCGGTGTTATTGTATTAGCTCCAACACCGAATTTTTCACCTGTTGCACCTAACACATTTCTAATTATAATATCAATATATTTATTACACTTAATAGTTAATCATGCACTAATGCATGCAAAATAATACACCCAAAGTGCCCCGGTAACCCCGATTATCGCATTATTCACTCACACACTAGCACATTAGATTTAGGGGTTATATTTCCTCTCTAAATCTTCAAAATCACTCACATTAATCACAATTAGGATTAAATAAGTCAAATACATTGACCGAGGGTCCATTTTTACATATTTCGATCCCAAATCCTAAAAATTGCACTTCCGACAATTCATACATTTCGCACCGGATATCATTTTCATTTGCATTCGAAAGTCACATTATCACATCAAGCATCATGTAAAAATGCAGCATGCAAAATTTCAGGTCATTCAGATTACAATTCACACATGTGATAATAATATTTAGAAATCAAGGTTTTTGCGTTACCGATACCTATTTTCAACCTCTATCCTCATTTCTTTTAAGACTGCTACACTTAAATTCACATATACCTTTAATCAATACAACCAGCCCCTAATTGAATCTTTATACCACCAATTTTACTACCATAATTTCGGTTTCATCCTAGCCCTAAAAAAAAACATACCTAACATCTCAAATAACCATTTTCACATTTTTCTCATCTTTAGTTTAATACCCATTTGGAATCTATCTTTAACAGCCCGTTAATTATGCTAAACATACTTAATTACACCCATACAAAATCTGTTTTGACATAAAATTAAATCAGTTCATGAAATTTAAATTAAAACATCTCATGTATTTATATTAACACAACCTACTAATTAAAAAATGCTAAAACAGCTCATATATATACAAATACGTACATACTAAAATTGATTACAACTCATGCTTAAACTTAATTCCACATATCTTCTTTTTTTCTTTCCTCTCTTCTTCCTTGCTTTTGGCTCAAAGGAACACACCTATTTATTTTTATTTTTTGTTCTTCCTCTCTTGCTCACCCTTACTCACGGTTTCTGTAATACTCACCCCCACTAAGGATTTCTGTAAAGAAACCAGACACACACACACACACATACTGTTCCATGAGTTAAACACACACACACCTATTCTACACTTTAACACACACACACACACACACACACTCGGCAGGCACACACACATGCATTGGATTTTAAAAAGGTGACCCCCCACCTTGTGTCTTGACACCTATCAAGATGGCTCACCTAACTTAATTAATTATACTTACCTCCCCCCAAGTTCTTAAATGATTTCACATCTACCCAACACTATTTTCATACACAAAAATTCCATCAAATAAATAATTTCACATAATTGTAATTAGTCCACATAATTATGCTAATATGTATGAAATGCATGATTGAGTCTCACATGGGGGATACAACCAAGGGGTAATAATGGAACATTGGAAACTAGCGAGTTGTTTGAGAAAGGAGATAAGAAAAAAATGGACTGAGAAAGATAGAGGAAAGAAGGATGAGAAACTTCACAAGGGAATCGCCATTACGGAGAGAGCGCTCCACAAAGAGGAGAAACCTATTATATTATTAAGTGTTTTAAAGTACCCTTATATGGAGGCTTACTTGCACCATGAATGTGTGTCTCTGTGTGTGTTGGGGGGGGGGGTGTTTGTGAGTTTAAAAGCAATGGAAAATGTAGCATTTGGACCACTTTGTCTTTGCCTCACCATGGCATCGCTCTGTTTTCACCCCCGCACCACCATTGCCACAATCACTACCACACAATCCCACTTCCCATTATTACCTTTATCATCTCTAAATACCACCCCACCATTAACATTACCCTCTCACCCCCACCATCCATACTACCGTACCAATCTGTAAGAGGCAAAAATTCGAGAACTCACGTGTTTTTGAACTTGATCTCCCAGTCTTCCTCTTCCTACAAAACGAACAAATTACCCAAGATCGATATGTTTCGATCGAAGGCTCTCCGATGCTTAAGTTAGTAAAGATAATGAAACGAATGGAAGAAGACCAAGAGAGTTCAGCGTACCTTTTACCTTGGATTCCTCCATTTTTTATAGATGGTCATCCCCTTAGGGTTTTCGTGATTTTTGATTCAAGGTGGCACACCTTCCTTCAATTCAGTGATTTGGTTTGGGAAATCGCTGATATTTCTCTATTATTTTCTCCTGATATCTTCAATTTCTCTGATTCGTTTATCTTATTGCCTAAGTTATAGGCGAATATTTATCTTTCTGTCTATCAATTGAAACAGCTCAGACATATCGAACACCGAGCACACTCGATGTTTGCTAAACAGGTTAAGGGACTTGGTTTGACACAAATCGATCTCTTCAATTGCTTTGTCGAATGCTGTAATGGACTCGGCTTGATACAAGACGAACTCTTTCCTTGCTTAACTGAACAAATTGACAAGCTCGGTCATAAAGAAAATCGAACTCTTTCTTTCTTTGTCGAACCTATCGATTAGCACGACTCAGTTTATAAGGCTGTGTGAAGGATTTCTCCGTCACGTGACCTGTCTTGTCAACCTCACGTGGGTTTCATTTAATGTCATTACATGTGTAATGATGAGGGCTAACCCCTTCATTTACCCCCAGAAAACGTTTGACAGACGTTTTTTTTTCTGTTAGCCATTTTCTTATCTCTTCATCATCATCACTTGTACTTTGTGAAATGCCCTTTCATTTTAGCGGCACATTCATGGTATTTAAATATTGCCCTTTAAAATTCCTCCTTTATAAACTGACTTTCTTCATATTTCATTCACTTCGCTTTTCTGCTTCAAGACTCTTAGACTTTTATCCTTTTCTTTCAGCGTTTTTCTTTCTCTGCACTTCATCTTCTTTATTGCTCATCTTACTCCTTCAGAAGTTCCTGCCTTCAAAATCAAGTACAACATC